TGTTGAGGGCAGGCAGTGTCCGCATCATCCAGCCAGGCTTTGGTGATGTCGGAACCTGAGCGACTTCACAGTGTTAGGCTTCATAGGCCAGGTTTTCGAGGTTTTGGGATTGGGCGTTGAAGAATGTAACTTGGAGATTCAGACTACCCATGACCATGAGAGAAAGGTAGCACACCGGATCCCAAGATACGAGGAATTGCTCAAAGGACTGTACGGGCTTACCGGCAGTTGTTAAATTGTGTAAGGGCGCGCGAAAAACCCTGGAAAAGGCTGCTTCGGCTCACTTGTATATAGCAGGGGTTACAAAGGAATGGCAGAACGTTGCACAGAAAAGTTAGTGAGCATGATCTTCGACATGCTTTGGTTCGAGTCTCCGGCAGTAGTCGAGGACAGGCTCGTCCCATTCCTGCCGAGTTCATCGCTGTGGCCGTCACTTCGCGTGCGGACTGGTTCAGGGTTGAGGGGCTGTCTTCGGCAATGGGAATCCCTGCTGTAACACTTGCGGATACTCATATACAGCGCTTGCTCAGGAGCCTCGTAATCTCTTTGTATCCGCTATATATCCCTAAGGGGATCCTTCAAGGCACCCTTTTTTCGAGAAACTCTCTGTTCTTTTTCTTCACCAGCTTGACCTGCCTCGATGTGCTCCTCGAACGCCGGAAGATGCTTCATGGCCTGCACGCATGCAGGGATGCTCCGTTTGGTGGGTAAAACAGTAAAGATAACAATGCCTTCGCCAAAAAGAGAGAATATAGTCCTGCGCTACAATCAGTTTAATGGTATCCCTGCTCTAGACTCATTTTGCTTAGCGATGTTTAGCGTAGATCTGCATACAGCTTCGAGCAGTACCTACGCAGGTATCTGAAACAGCAAAGCCTCCTAGATACCTCGAAAATGCTTGCAGGGCATTGCACAAACCCAAGCCGGACCCCTGACCCTCATCCCAAAAAAGAGAAGGACAGCTTTGAGCTGTCCGTCCTGCGAAGAAAAACCAAACCGCAAGTGCCCCAACCTCTAGAATCTAAACCTTTTGCTGCCCTTGCCTCCAATCCCCACACCCAAAAACTGCGAAGCCCGAAAACCTAGCTCCGAACCCAATTCCATCTGAAAACTTAAACCTCCAAATCCCATTCAACTCTGCACCCCTGTAACCCCCCCAAAACCCCAGACGCTAAAACATTTCCAGAGCTTACACTCCCCGACTCAGACAGTCACAGGCCTCCTTCCAAAAGCCTTGTAAGGCGGGTGTGCCAGAGGCCTTGGCCTTGCCATGTGGGTGGTTGTCACAATTATGGTACCCGTTAGGGTAATAATTAACTACTATCATATAATAGGGTATATATTGGGATATATATTGGAGTTATGGGATAAGGGAAAAGAAAATGGAAACTACTATAATGGGTTTTATGGGTGGTTGTCAAAATTATGGTCCCTTTTTGGGGTACCCTAAATATTAGGTGCCGTATTATTATAGGGATCCACAAAGGGACCATAATCTTGACAACCACCCATGTAGATCAGGGGGGGTTGGGGGCTTGGGTTTGAATTCTGAGTGCTTGGGGTCTAAAGCTTTGGGGTGTGGGGTTCAAAGGTAAAGGGTTCGGGAGCTCAGCACTAGAAACTTACATTTCAGGGATTTGAGGGTTTTGAGTTTAAGATAGTTTAGGTGCTATCGGGTTTGGGGTCCATGGAGTTTGGGCGTTTTCGGGGTTGGCTGACATGGGGACCTTGGGTTTGGGCAACATCTGGCAAACGGTTGCCCTCAACACCCGAAACATGGCCTTACCTCTGCAGAAGCGCATGGTTGTGAGAAACTGCCAGGAGAGCGGAGAGCATGTTGCAGTCTTGCTTCGTCTTCCTGTAGAAGACTGCCACCCTACAAAACCCCGAGGCTTGGATCACTCGTTCGGGCTTCTGCAGTACGTGAAACACTTCAAAAGGTGTTCCGCGCCACCTCTTCGCCTCCAGCTGCTGCTGCGTTGGTCAGGATCTGCGTCCTCACCAGGATGAGAGCCATCAATCAGTCTCGAAATTGGCAGGCATTCTTTCCATCAATCAGTCTCGAAATTGGCAGGCATTCTTTTGGCCAGTAGGCTAAAAATGCCATCCTACTACTAGAGTCATATCCCGCGGCAGATGAAGGTGTTCTTCAAGCCTTACAATGCCCCAAAGATAATAACGGTATTGAACTCCAGAATATCATTAACAGCACCTGAAGCAGGCACTCATAGTTGCTGAAGTAGCAAGCCCACAAGATCCCGGTCCACGCGCCCACATGTTGATGTTGACATACCCCTGTTCTTTGAGGATCCGTGGCGGTCCCTGTTTTTACTCCCCTTGACAGGCACAGGGTTCTGAGTCAGAACTTCGCTCCACTTCCTATAAAGGCCATGCTAAGCCAGCCTCTGATCGAGGAATGGCTGCTGCTTTGCAGAGAACTGCTTCTGCAACTCCTCCACTGCAGACCAGTCATCATATCGCGTTCCACAAGACAATGGCAAAAGGAAGTACAAAGTGAACAGGCCTAGGCAGGCAATTTCAGGCTATCGGGACACATCCGGGCCTTGGGCGGACTACAGCTTGCAGACGCGAGGGATACTGGGGAATGGCATGTACCTATTTGTTTCAGGCTACTTCAACAGCATTAGTTGCTTGTTGAACAGCCGCTGACAAAGAATCATCAGGTTCAGTCCTGGACGGCTTTCTCGTACTCTCGCTCAACAGCAAGGTACTTGTCGTCGATCTCCTTCAGCTCCTTGCCACGATGCTAAATAAGCAAAGTACAGTTTTCACTGGGTCTGCTGGGATATTTGTGGGGACTGCTACAGGGGATTTTAGATGCGTAAGTAGTGAGCACTATTGGGAAGGAAAATACACCAACACTAGATGGCCTGAAGGATGGTGGCTGAGAGTTAATCGGTAGTAGCTGCGTACAGCTGTAATGAGCTGTATGCAGTGAATTGGCATGGGCGCTTTTTGCGCTGCTAGGGTCAACTTGTGGCTGCCAGCGGGCGAGTTTTGCTGCAGCTGCCATCTTCCACTGCATGGCGCTCTCTGGGTCAATAGAGCTTCGTGGACACAAATCCTGTGTACGTAGTGCCCATAGGACATGCCGACCTTACGACCCCTTAGAGCACGAGAAAGAGAGAGAGAGAGAGAAAGGGTAATGTGGAGGAATAACAATTTCAATCATTCAGGCCGTTTGGAGGCCGGGCTAACTAATCAGGGCCATTAGCCTGTGCATGCTTGGGGGATTGTTTGGCCAGTGTTGCGTCTGTGTATGGGGTAGATATCAGGTATAATATCAAAACTGATATTGCTACTGCTAAAGCCCAAAACAGAAGTCCTGGAACCCTTAGCCACATTACGTGCCACCACCTTTTAAGATTCCAGGGGGTGAGAGGTCTGTTGCGCTTAATACCGCGCAAGGCCGTAGACTATATGGGGTGTGGATAGGACTTTTCTTGCCTGAGGTTTCGGATTTAGGGGCAACTATATACTTCTCTCCCTAAAACCATGGACCATGAAGTCCCAAATGATGAAGTCCTTCCTGCATTGCCCCAAAAGAGGGATCGCAGTCTTGCCCTCACCAGGGCAAAGCATCCCTTCTGAAGGCAACATCACGGGAGGCCCGTGGCTTTTGAAAACTCTGCTCCACACGGAAACCCTTCACGGTAACTTTCTCAGGGTATCCGTAGCGTGTCTACAGCGAGGCCTTCAGCAGTGTTCAGAGCGTTGAAATGTAGAGTTTAGAGGTTACAAAGTGGACTGAGCTCTGCAGAGTTAAATTTAGGAGGCGTGGATTGAGCGAGGGTGTACATGGATGCAGTGAAGGTAAAGTAGCTAGCATTATATAGCAAGCAGGAGGAACAAGCTTCATATGCGACGTGCTCCCAAGGTTAAGATGGACTGGGCAAACGAAACCGCTTCAATCAAGAGAGCCCGTCCTTGATGATCGGCGGGTCTTCTGGGGCATCTGCCTCAGGCTTTTCCTCCTCCTCACGCTGTGGTCTGAAGGGGGCCTAGCAATAGATATGAGGGAGCTGGCAACAGCAATACCAACAGTCAAAAAAGAACCATGGGGAATGATGATAACAATGGTCGCCACTGCTTTGCTGAATGCTTTAATACTGTACAAGATAGCTGGCGATCATGCCAGTAATGTGACGCCAATCGGTGAAACAAAGCATTGTCATGTCTGGCTGGTCCTTCTTTGGTTCAGCCTCTTGTTCTGTCTTCTTCTTTCCCATGGCTTGACGGCCTCTTCAGTTGCAGGATGGGCTGAGGCAACTTTGGATATATCCCTAAACTGGGGGGGGGGGGGGGTCAGGTGACCTCGTATGACATTGGCATTCAGCGAGTCAGCAAAGTCACTTAGTTCTTGCCAGAAACAGCTAGGCGAAGTTTTGTATGCAGCTAAGGATGGGCATGAATTTTCAAGCGCAGCCCGGCAAGAGAAGCAATACGGAAAACTACAAACCCACGCCACCAATCTTGACTCCGGGCTGTCCAATCATTCAGTGCGTGCAGGAGCGTTGAGGCCTCAAGCTTAACACTCCCAGGCATCGCTCTTGCCAGACTTGCAGATCATCACCGAATTATTGGTTTAGAGAGCTGTCTGACCAGAGCGGGTCTTCTGCAACTCCATTCATGACATGCACGCCGGCCTGAACGGAAAACCCTGGCTACAACGCCCGCAGAAGCCAAAGCTGCGGAGGAGGTCAAAGAGGTCAACAGAATATACACAGGAGTTGGGGTATACTTGAAACATGAGGGATGCAGACAGCTGAATCCCAAGAAAAAAAAATGTGGTACCTGGACTCCCAGCGACACTGGTAAAACTTCGCAAAGTGGGACAGGCAATGAAACCTTTTGACCGCAGAAAACTCATAACTCCTACCCTTGCCTCAAGTCTCACGGGATGAAATTGAAAAAGGCCATGTCAGGATTCAGGGTATGCAGTTTGCATGCAGAAGGAGTCAACACGCTGCCAGCTAGGCCCAGCTGCGCAGTGCGTGAATGAGACCTGACCCAGATGGCCGTACCAACCGACAGCCTTGACAAATGGTGTGTGAGTACCTCAATTTTAGAGAGCACTTAGTGTTGTCTTATCGGCGTCCCCTCAGCATATTATAGCATATCTAACATGCCATGTCATCTAGGGGCTAAGGCCAGGACATGACCGGACACGTTGCCGCCCGAGCGCGGCAGCTGCCTAGCATCGACTCAAGGCAAGATCTGGAAACAAACTCTTGAAGTTCACCTGCACAAAATGCTAAGAAAACTAGGACAAGGGAACGATGGAAAAGGTGAGGCACCTTGGGCCCAGCACCGCTGAAAGTCGCAAAGCAGAATAGCGGCGCGAGCACATATGTTTCACTGACTGGGCTATGACTCTCACCTTCGTGAATTGGGTACTATCAGAAGCCTAGAATCTTCCGACATTGCAAAGGTACTGTAGAGGTCGGCCTAGTGCAATCCACGTTAGGAGGCGGTACCTTCAACTATATTCTACACACTCTAGGGGCCCGGAAACAGCACACGGAGACAATGCACGTCAGGGGTGAGGGTAAGCATGCCACCTGTGCCACTCACACCTGCATAGTTTCGTTACCGCATCAACTTCCTAGCGGTCGAACACTCTCCGTCTGCTTTAACCCTCAGCAGTCCCAGACTGCTGGGAGAACAAACCATTCTGGGAAAAGTCAGAGATGCCCTCGAAGACTGGGGACAGGGCCCTTTCCCTCGCAGCTAACAGTGGCTTCCTCGGAGAAACAATCACTTTACCTTTAGGATGCTGTGAATGAGGCGTTTGGGATTATATTTTGTTCAGGCGTGGGGCAACGAACGTGGCTCAAGGAAGCTATACGAGTCAGAGGCCGAAACAGAGGATGACACAAAAACTATGCGGGATCGAACGCAACTTTGTATTTGGAATGGTGTAGAAGCAACTGCGTGAGCATGAGTCAGCTGCATGACATATAAACGATGCAAGCATCGATGTCTGAACCCCTCACAGAGCTCCCATGCTCAGCTGCTCAGTTGCCGGCAAGTTGTGCCAAGCATGGAAGCATACTCGAACTAGAGATGCCTGCCCGGGCTCTTCACGCGTGTAAATGACATCGCTAGCCACCGCCACGTCACAAAATGCCAGGAAACTTTTCGCCAAATGCATGCTGGTTTTCTAAAGCCTAGTGACTCCTACATCCCGCACACTCTTCCCACAGGAACCCCCAAAATGGTCTGTATACATATTTCCGAGGAACTCTAAATTCCTTACTTCCACAAAATGGCGCATGTGGCCAGTTTTATCTGCCTCCAGCCCGATGGCCCAGGCCTGCGGCAAAAGGGATTTAACCCAATATGCCCCAAATAGGGATTATAATCATCTAGGGATTATATTGGGGATTATAGGGGTGGTATAGGGATCATATAGGGGATTATAAAGATGATTATATAGGGGATTCCTTCTGTGGTGTTAGGAACTGGGCTCTGCAGCGCCGAAATATGCTGAGCTTAAAGCTATGGACCCATATCCTAGGGGTTCAAATATGTGTATATATATATATACACATACATACATCTATGTATCTACCTATCAACCTATCCAACTATCTATCTCATCGGTCGATCTATCTATCTCGTATATGCTGTACTTGATATTTGTGTGTGTATATATACATATGTATCTATCTTGTCTGGGTTTACTGGAAAATTGCTGGTTGTGCTTCGCATAAAAAGCTGCGCATCACGTACCCTTTCGGGCCCCCGAGAATCCTGTGCAGAAGCCGGAAGCAATGCTCCATACAGGATGAAGGCATAAGAGGTAGAAATCCTGCAGCTATCCTTTCCCAGCTATGTTCGTGAACCTCCAGAACTCGAAGGCAGCGCTCATTGTGTTCAAGATGGGCTGTCAGCAAGGAGCTGTATTCCTGCAGCTGCGCACACCACTCGATGCCCGACTGTCCTCCCGAAGCCTACGAGAACCGAGTACTGAGTATTGCAAAACACGTCAGAAGCGCAAAGCTCTGACTGAACTTGTATCTGTGCATCAACCCTTGCCTGGGAGCCTTATTGAACCCACAACACTGCACACGAAACTCCTAATCTCCCAGTGGCCCCATGGTATGAGCAGACAACAAACAATGAGGAAGACAGAAAAAACTTGTTCGACTCGCAGGCTCCTCTGCGGTGACCTGACAGGACCCCGTCCGCACGCAGGCCCTCCAGACTTGCCTAGAAGCACAGCTCAACTTGGGAAATTCCTGTCATGAAGCACCGAAAATAGATTCCAGACAACTGGCAAATTTAGACAGAACCATCTTGTCATCAAATGACCTAGTCCCCAGATCCCAGGGCTGCTGCAAGCATCGGCTCTGGAGGGCGGTGCGCGAGGCAGCAGCCAATGCACCAGCCTGCCAGTGGGCATATAAAGATACATATGCACTCGCGTGAGTTCCTTACCTTGAAAGTCTGAAGCAGCTCTTAGCAGCGCTTTTGAATTTGTGTTGGGCCTGCTGTACGGGGAGCCCTCCTCCATGTTTCAGCAACCGCTGAAAGAGTGTTCGGCCAAGATAGAAGGCCCTCCTTTATGTGCGTCAGTTTCTGGTCCGAGCAGAATCCAAACTAATGACTCATCTCCGTTAAACCCCAGAGCCCTCGGAAGCGAGGGAGGGTTAATCAGCGACCCCATTCTTGATTTTCTGCCCCCGCCCCCCCCCCAATGTTTGGGGTGGAGCCCCTAAGTTGAAGGAGAGCCAACATGAAAGACTGAAACATGATCCCAGGACAAGTTAAGAAGTGAACATCGCAAAGTGCTGCGTTGAAAGTTACCTTTGCACAGCTGGGGGGTAGTAGGGAATGAAGGAATAAAGCCCATATAATCCCTAAATAAGATTTTCGTATTTACTGATATTCCCTACTAATCACCAGTAAGTTGTTGTTTTCCGTAACTGCTGGCCTCGAAGGCCCAGCGCCGGGTAGCTCCCTCCTGACGCAAGCTTTAGGGTGGACACTAATTAACTTCTCGTCTCTCTTGTAGTTGGTGGTAATATTGTAATTAATCTACGACTTGTGGGACAAGGGGTAGCACGGAAACCAGAACCATGGTTAATCATCAGACTTTCTCGATGCCCTTAGTACAGGAGATACCTACAGGATCACATGGAGCGCCTTGATTTGGCAATTATCGGTTTTGATTCCTCACATTGCTGCCCACCCCTGTGAGTGGCATGAGACAACTGCCTGTGGAGGACGCCGAATGGAAGAGGAACTTGCTGGGCTTCTGACTGTTGACTTCCTAAATTCCTGTAAGGATACCCGGCCCACAAGAGGCCGAGAGCTGAGGAGAGAGTGCTTGAAGCGTGGCATGGTCACCCTCAGCAACTGGCACCTTCCGTCTCGCGCAGGCATGCTGTTCCCGCAGACCTTGGCGGCGGCTGTATGAATACTCAAGGACTGCGTGAGGCCTGTGAAAAACTTAGCGTGGTAAAACTCACAACGTCCAAAAAAGAGAAGACATGCTCATTCTGATCTTCTGGGCCAGCACATGACCTGCGCGCTTGTCACAGGTTTGCTTGCAAGGCCCCAGCGCTCTCTGTAGAATGCTGCATCTCGTTGCGCCGCCAGAAGACCTTGTTGTCAACTGATGTATCAAGGCGCGTGCACCCCCAGCTGATAGTAGACCCAGCTTGGCTTCCCACGTTGGTTGGACCCCAAAGACGGAAAATATTGGATTCGGAATGCGCCCGCATCATGCACTGCCTGGACTGCAGGTTACTACCTCGCAGAGTTAATGGCCTAGCTGCGAGGTCTCTCGAAGTATCAGCCAGACTAGTTACCGCAAACCATCATCAGCACCACTTACACATTACACCCTAAACACAAACCTTGAACCTAAAACTCATCACCATCATCACAGGGGCCCGGGCGCCTGCTGGCAACGTTTTGCCCCCAAAGTTGCAGAGCTGCCTCAGCAAAGGCCAGCGCTGCAACGAACAGAGAGACTCTTATGCAACGCTGATAAGCAGCATTTAGCTTGTGCCTCGAAGTGCGACATGAAACTCAAGTTGTCATCGAGTTGACAACATGATCATACCATCTTTATCGAGCGCTCGAATTTTGAAACCCAACTCGCCACCCCTGAAAGACATGCTCCAACAATCTTTCATGTCAAAGGGATGGCTCATTTTCGAAACCCAGGCCAAGCGTTGTATGAGCCCAATTTCCATGTTCATGTTCCATTTGATTCTCCATCATTGGGGTAGTAATCTTAATCCCTATATATCCCCTGTAATATCCCTGTCAGTTCCCCATACCAGTGTTTGCGGTAGATTTCCTGATGCTCGGTGTCCCAGCCTTACACGGGGGGCATGGTGACTACATTCTTGGTGCCATCATGCGTCGTTGCTAAAACTATGCCACCATTTCGTGAACCTCAGATAATGCTCCCCTTTACTCGGTCTGCAATTTCGGTGCCCTCAGCAAGGAGCCCTCTTTGAACAAACTCCACATGTCCAGCTTGTTCCTGCTAGCAGCTTCAAGGGTCAGACTGAGGCCAGGTTCGCAGCACGGCGGCGGCCTTTCGCAGGGCTGTGTGAGGCTGTCTATATGCCGTAATCGTCATGCTGTGAGGGTCTTCAGGAGGCCAGAGTTTTGGGAAGCACCCAGATGTGCGCTATGGAGTTCGCTTGAGACAACACACCTGAACTCCTAAATCCTGAGCCTTAGCTACGGCTGGAAACAAGGCTGACTTGCAGAATTGTGGTGTCATGCTACTTAGGGGAACAACCCCCGAAGGATTTTAGAAAGAAGCTGTGGGATGATGAGCGGATTCCTGTGGCTCTTCGTCAGGACTACCCAGCTACCCTTTTCACGATCCAAAAACCCTGAAGCCTAATCCATATCCTGGGCCTTGTGCTTCTGCAAAGAGCACCAAGCGCCGCTTCAGGGCCGCCTCGCGCACGGCCAGGGGGCCCTGAAGGCACACCTTCAAGCTTCCGGTACCACCGATAGGCGCACAAAAAAGCAGTGAGCGGAAGTAGGGGCAGCAGGAGCTAGAGCAGGAGCAGGCAAACGTGTACACCATTGTTTGTGTAGAGTAGCTTCCGCACCACTACCACTGCTGCTGGAGCATCGTGACTGATAGGTCCGCAAGCTACAGCGCTTTAAACACGTGATGTCTCATGGTGTTCAGGCAGTGGTACAAACTAGATATGATTATCTATGTGTGGCGCACGAATTAGTGGGTGCATCCTGGATAACAATACAACATCATCGAATTCACGCTGCCGACATGCCAGGGGCTGATTGAATTTCACAGCGCCCCTAAGCTTCCCCTGCTGCCTGCTGGCTGGCAGCTAAGGAGGGAATGGATCCCCAAACTAGTCCCTATAACTCCAAGGTTGACTTCAAGTTTACGGTCGCCCTTAATTCAAGTAACACCAACAGGTACACTCATGATACAATATTAATGAGCATCCTACCTCATACAATCTCAAATCAGAACCCTCATCCCAAACCCTAAACCCTAAACCCATTTATTACCCCGATCCCTTGCAAGGTGCCGGGACGTATGAGCCTTCTCGGGCTCAGCATTTGTCAGCTGTGAAGCCGCAAGGAGCCTTGCACAGCTTGAGCCGCCCCCTATCCCAAACGTATCATAAGGTGTATATATATATATATAGATGCAGATACAGTATACTAACTTATACTGTAATATTATATACAAATATCATATGTAGATAGTATTAGTATATTATACATATTGGGGTCATATGGGGATATAGGGATAATGGGGAAAAGAAAATGGAAACTATAATAAACTTGGAACCTGAAAGCAGACCTTCGTTGATATTCAATGGGGTCTGCTGGTTCCGTGCGGGAGGGGGGGGCAAGCGACTGAACTGCTACTTTCAAGCTGTTCAAAGCAGCTTAGCGCAACGCGACACAGGGAAAAATTTGCGAGCGCCAGAGAGACTGCGAAAACAAACTAGCAAAGAAAAGGATGTGTTCCAATTGTTGCGATCCGAATGAATGATGAGACTGAACCATATGGAGAACACAATTTTCATCACAGACCAATACTAGCCTCCACCAACCCCCCCATGTTCCTCGTAGAAATGTCCCGGGTACAGTACAGTATGATGTTTGGAAGCCCCAAGGGCTAAATAGATATCCTACAGTATCTCACGCCGTATCCTGAGAAAAACAGACACGAACGCCCGATGATGGAAAAGCTTGCCTTGAAGGGCAGCATGGCGCATCTCGACCTCAAATGGGGCCCTGTTTCAGCTTGATTGAGGTTTACGGAATAAAGCAATATAGTATTCTCTGCTGCTGCTATTGTGGTTAGACTAAGGGGAGCAGATCTGCACATACACAAGCAGGATTCCATTGATCATGGGTACCATTGTGGTTTGGGGAGATTCTACTTCTCACTCGCTCCCGTCCTCTCCTTATGCATGTCCATTGACATGCTGGGGTCCGTAAACGCGTGGTCTTGAATTACAATATCACCATGTTCTTCTGAAGCATGTGCTCTTGCACGCGCTTTGAGTTGCCAACAATCTCACATGTTTCTCAGATGTCTAGCTAGCTGGATGGTGGGCCTCTCAAAATTGTGGGTGCTTTTCATGTGGGGGCCTCATACAGAGGACGATCGTATTCTGGAGGCATAAAAGAGGAGCAACCAAATCTTGAGAAATACATACGTGAGCTTCACACACTTCGTTTTGCTGGCTGCGACGCTGCACCATGTCTGGTCCCCTCTCAATTGAAGTGCTGCAATTGTTGCCCTGCCTACCTTACTCCCAGTTCTGCCGCAGGCACGAGCATCAAGGATTTGCGAATGATGACGCTTTCTTGTACAAGCTCAAAAATGTGGCTTCAGGCGCTGCCAACAAAATTGAAATCAGGAAGGCGCCTGTGATTTTGAATTGGAGAAACCCCATCCATACACCTGCATTGTTGGGGGACCTGGCACAGCTCTCATCCTGACTTGTTGGTATCAGAATGCCTGGAAGCCCCCCCTGAAACGTTGCTGCACTTCGATGGCTCTGCGTGGCCCAGCAAGGTAGCAGCAGGCATGGATAAAAAATTGGCAGGACTGAGTAGAATGCCCACGTGAGCTGTAGCTTCCAGCAGCAGGACCCGGGATGCAGCTACTGAAAGCTCTCCCGATGAAAGCATATCAGGTTCACTTGCTGCAGCTCATGCACAGTAGGTGCCCACAAGGCCACCGAATGGGTGAACTGCTAGCAGGAATTCCTCAGCAGATGGCTCCAAAGATCTCCAAAGACTTCACGAGGGTGTCTGAGACTGAAAAAAAGCTGAAAAAACTACAAGGAGTTGCAGGAAGTCCCGCAGGCCACACCATAAACTTTCTTGGGCAAGAAGCCGTGCTGCAGAAAGCTTGCGGGGCTGGCAATCTCATAGGGACGCTGCTGGCGGAAGGATCCAACCAGCAACCAGTCTAACCTATGCTCAGTTTGCTTAGCTTGAAGGTCGGCGAGGCCTACCCGCTGGGGCCAAGCCCAAGCATTTAAGAAAATTGCCCACCAATTACTGCTAACTATATCCGCAGCCTCAGCTTTCTACAGTCGGCCGAAGCGCAAAGTGCCTCGAGCTGAGGGAACATATACGTTGGCGAAATCGAATCGCAATGATGCCAGAGGCTGGAAAGCAAGCCTGGACCTCAACCTTGCAAATCTTCTCAATGGTTTCAACATATAGGAAGAATATAGGAAAAAGTGCCACGGGCTCCATTTCACCGATTGCTGGCGCATCGCAGTTCTGATCGATTTTCAGCTTGTTTGACATTGAAGACATAAACCACCGTCCATCTCATATCCCTGCCCGCAGCGCTCGGCAGGATTCTACAGGACATCCTGAATTAAATTGAATTAAGAGATGCTCGCTTACTTGACTGATGCCAAATTAGCTTTGATAGACCCCGGATAAAGAGTCAGTCTTCACACGGGGATCGCGAAGCCGAATGCAGTCATGTGCCATGCAGTACGCAGCATATTGAGCGCATGCGGGCGTTGGCCAAGGCAGTTGCACAAGACGATGGCTACCTGTGTCATGTTCTCGGTCATGATGCATGTTGGCTGCCCGTTGTGCTTGAAGACTTCTGTGTGCTCGGGCTGACGTGTTGGCAAGCTGTTCATACCAGGACAAAATGATCGTGCTGGAAAGGTTGCCAAGAAGTCGGAGGAAGCTGAACTTCATGGTTTTACCGTTTGGAAGCATGTGTGTGAGGGTCATGAGATGGCTTGGCGATGCCTGCATTGCAGCAAGTTTTTGCAAACCAAGGCGCAATGCGTACTCACCTCAGCAGAACGCATGGGGTGGTCTCGGTTGCGACACATGTCGATCAAGGAACTGTGTGCCGAGTTTGTTGCGCGGATCACCAAACCACCAAACGTTCAAGTGCAAATCTTTACAACAAGAAATCTTGCCTGCGTACGTGCCGTGCTGCTGACATGTCTCACGATGTTGTTCCTGTTGGTCGTTCGTCGTATGTCTGGGTACCACCTCTCCGCGTTGAAGGGCCGCAACCATTCTGGGCGACTTTTGATGAAGGCGGAGCTGCTATCAGCGCCATCCAAAGGCTGTCTGGATACTTGGCGCAAGCTGTTGGGCAACTCGTGGGCAGAGGATGGTCCAATTTCTGATAAGAACTTACGAGGAGTCTCAACTGTGTGGGCTGCCGCCTAACACTGCCAGGCACACGGCTGAGCAGCTGCCTGTTGACCCTCCGGGCCTTCATGAGGTTCTAGATCTTATTGATACATTTCAGCGAACCGGTGAGTATCGGTCTCAATGGGGCTAGGCTGAAAGCCGTGTGCAATCCGCATCGAGTCATTTCAGGCAGCAGGCAGGCCACCTTTCATGCCGCAGTTCTGAGCCTGTAGATCCATGGCTGCGCTGCGCACCAGGATTGGACAGAGCTCGCTGCAAATAGAAAAGTATGCATACGGCACGCCTCACGCGGAGTTTCCCGTCATTCGGCACCCAGAGCCCGCGCAACACTCGCGAACAACCGCGTGCGAATGCTCAAACAACTTAGTTCGCATCAACTCCCTAACCCTAGGACCCTAAGACCCCCACACTTGAACGAGAAGCCTTCCACTGTGCATTTGGGGAAAAGGATCATTGCGCAGTGCGCTTCCTTATCAGATGTCTCGTAACAGTTCCACAGCTGTAGACTGTGGCATGACAGAGAGACGTGGGAGTGAATATAGCTGAGCTGCTGGTTAATTCACGGTAAGCATGGACCGTAAGTTTTTGCGACATGTGTCAGGAAGACCATTTTCAAGCACCACCATGTTGTTAGGTAAAGCCGATATCCAGGCCCAGCACTCGGCGGCCTAACAAAAATGGGCTGCACTCAAACAGCAGAAGGGAAGCATGCGAATGGCAACTTGCCCAAGCTGCATCACGGCACTGTACATTTGATTCAAGTAGAAAGAGTTCCAAATACAACCCCTTCCCCAGTGTACCCCCCCACAGGGTTTAAGGGGTACATGTCTAACTCCTGAAAGTAGGTGGGTGTGTCACGAAACACTGGCAAAACCCAACATGGCAGCAATCTGTGACTACAGGTGAGGGCCCGGCTCTGATTGAGCAGTTTCCCACAATAAGGGGCCCCAATATAGACACCAAGAAATACGGTAATCCCTATTATGGGGACATGATACCGATAATTTTGGGGAACTCCCATTTGAGTTTTTCGACATTGCATCTGACAAATCACATAGCAGAGCTGGCAGAAAACTCTCAGGGAAGTAGGGGTTATGGCTAGGAGGGAATAAGGCAGTATATCAAATATATGGATTACATACGGATTATACTCTCTTAACCTACAAACCGACTAGGCTTTGTAGTGGGCTCAGGGCCGCTCGAGTTTAGCGTTCCTTGACCCCAAATTCTTAGCACCCTCTTGCGTGTGATCCACATCAAGTCTGCTGACTTGGGTGGTCCACACTAACTATTGTGATTCTCTTTGAGGGACCCCTGACACCAAAACCTGAATGCCAGAAGGAACGCATTCAAAAGCACTGAGTTAATGCAGCTGCAGGCCCAAAGTATTTGCCAACGCATCCACAGGCATTGCAGCAGGAGGAACGAACAGTTTATGGGGCCTCTATAGTTTAGGGTTCAGGGCCTAAGTAGGTTCAGGATTTAGCGCACTTGTCTACACAAGGAAGTGCAAGATGAGTAGTCATTGATAGGGAACGTACCTGTTGTCAGAGGTGGACTGATCAGCAACCGAAGGAGAGTAGCTGACGGGAGCTGCAGTGCCTGCGGAGCTTCCCTGACAAATGGCTCTGATTAACGCGCGAAAGTGGAAGGCACCAAGACAGCTGACAAAAGAAGCAAACACCAGGGCAATCAAACCTTTGAAGGGCAAACTTTGAGCATGCAAAGGGTGACGATGTCCGCTGACATTGGCAAAGAACGTTGCGCCACATTTCGGGCAGCAACACCTCTGTGAGACTTGCACAGAGAAGCAGGCCCACAGGACAAGCAGCTATTCCGTGTCGTCAAATGAGGTGATGCTGTCTTTAGCGCTCTTGCAGACCACCTTGGTTTGATGTCTGGTCATCTGGTAACTTGCCTAAACCAGAGTACAAACAATATAAAATTGGGAAACCAATACGGAGAAGTGAACGTAATGTACCGAAAGATAGCGGGCTGCTCTATTCTCGTTTGAGCAAATCCCCATACGTCTTCAGCCAAGCTTCTATCCGACCAAATTCATGATTCAAGCGCAGGTGCGTCCGGTCCTCTACAAAGGAGCTCAGTAGGGCACTTCTCTGAAGCTTGATAAACACTATAATGCAGCTTTTCAGCTTTTCAATAGAATCTATCCCCTGTGGAATTCCAACATACCGTACCTGACATTCGTTGGCTTGAGCAACGGAAAAGGGCGTGTAATGGTGTGTGTAAGCAACTATCTGGGGCATCTTGCAGGTCTAGGTGCCCATCAATGCCACACTTCAAAACCAAAACTCCTGTAAACACACTAAATCCTGAACCAACATAACCTCAAAGAAAGACTCTATAAAGCGCAAGAGCTCGCTCCTGGTCTGTCTGCGTGGAACCTCGGCGTATGGCTGGCACCACCGATGCATGGCGCGAGTCCGCACGATACCTTGCTTGTGGCATCATACACTTTGACAGCCTAATCACGATCATTCTTGGGATGCTTGGTGTGGTTCATGAACCAATGTCACAAGGGAAGGCACTTGGACTTGGGTCTGTTGGCCTTCCAGCCGACGAGTTCAAGAGTTAACTGCGTGTATTCAGGCAGCTATCTGCCAAGCCGCCTAGATCCGGCTCGACTGCTGGTTGAGAGGGCCGTCCGGAAAGTGTCAAACAGCTGAGGGTCCTGAGGCGTGACAACGGGTGGCTTGACAAAGGTGACGCGCAGACTTCCTTGAGCGGGTACCTTCAGAAGTACACCGGCAGGCACCACGATGGGCCATCTACCCAAAGCCCATGGACTGGCCTTCTGGCTTTGTACAGCGATCAGCGGGGTGCCCCAACAGTGGCCGGTCCTAAGCATCCACATGTGAGCATGATTCCAAGCTGCGGCCAACCCCTGGCTGGCTGCCATCCTGACCCGCTTGATTGTCTGACTGAAATGAATCAAGATCTTTACGACTATACGCATGCGCCTAAAGTAGCGCACATGCTTTCGAGCTCTGGTAAAATCATACGAGCTCTGCAGCCAACTTGTCGTATACCCTGAGATACCCGAAGCAAACCAAGATGCAGCTGCTGGAGTATGTCCTCGAACCCGTCAGCCTCATGTCAACATGCGGGTGTCTTAACATGATGGCCCCTTGTTGAGCTTTAACAAGTGATGCCAAAACCTTGGGGTCAACAAGAGGCCCCTTTTGCCTTCGCACCAATTACAGTCTTAAGATAACCGTACTGTAGAAATCTGTAGAACATCAAGCCCCTCAGCACTCCTTAGAACTATGTCGAACGTGAACACACACTGCAAACCCAATATTCATGAACCTTAGCTGTACACTCACATATCCCTCGAAGCTCCAATCCATCCTTCCACCACGCCCCCGGCTGCCGTTTTGCCAGGTAGCTGAGGTTGACAACATCGACCAGCCCGGCGGTACGGAAACGGTGGTACCACGCAAGCGCGCCCGCTTCTGGCAGCTCTGGGGTTGGGTTTAGGATTTGAAGCAGGGAGCTGCCCTTTTGCTGGAAGGTTGGGTCTAAGTTGACAATAACAAACTGTTCTGGCTAACCCACGAGTGAAATGACTCTGGATCTTGGAACACTTGCAGGATTCTAGCATGTGGCTCTGAGTTGGGGAAGGTGGAGCACCGAAGAAGGCATTGCACAAGCTTTGAGACAAAATGTGTCAGGCACTGGCACAGATTTTGGGAATATAAAAGGTGTCATAGCCAACCGTTCAAGCATGCTGGAATGGCTAGGTAGCACTTTGCAGAGCTACTTACTGAGAAAGATCTTACAGAAAAAGATCTCGAATCGGGGTGAGGTCCTCAACATAAGTATCACAGTCGCCACACCCCATGGGCCTTGCGCTTTGATTTCAATGGTTCCCAAAAAAACTACGTAGAAGATTAGGCACCTCTTTCAAGAAGTCTAAGCCTTGCAAGATGGGCATCCTTGCCATCAAAAAGATCGTGGGTCTAGCTGCTTGGCGTCAGCCTCATCATCAGGACTCGTTGATGGCCTTAGGAGTATCTCACATGATTCTAGTTGCTCTCTCAAACTGCCAAGGTAGGCGAGCTGCAGAACAGCATATGCGCACCCAGCAATGGTCACCTGCACTTGCAAGCGATAGCTGCAGCTGCACAACCAACCGAGGCAAAACAAAAGACCAGCTTCATGAAACTTACATGTCGCCCGTTACCCCAACTCGCAAGCATGCTATCCACTGACACCTCAACATTTTTTGCGGATGGAAGTTCTAGTCGGAGCGAACCAGAACAGGTGAGATCCCAGTTTCATGGGTTCCCCTACTACCCCCTCTATACTACGCCCCGTTTATAATTAAGGTTGCTTGGGGATGAGTACGCTTGATTAAGGTTGATTAAGGGTGAACCTAAGGGGGTAGTATAGCGGGGGGGGGGAGTAGGGAAACCCATGACACTTAGTTGGATCAAGGTTGTGATTTCTGCCGGCACCATAAATGTCGCTACAGCTGTGTGAGAACAGCGGCACGGACAAGGCTCCACGGACAAGGCTGCACTTGTGAATCCTAACTGCTCCCAATGACTACTGCCAGCCCTTCTTGCGACTGCCACGTTGCTGATGTTTATAATGGTTTTTCAAATGGCCTCTGCATAGCACATCCTAGCTGTCCCAGTGCAACACTGACAGCAAGAAAATGGGCAATCCCCATTATCAGCACCTCAACTGCAGGACATGCACAGTCTGCTTTCTACGAAACTCTGCATGTGCACCCTATGCAAATTTGCAACTTATTGCTATTATGAGAAACCTCCTATCCTAAATCCCCTGACTCCAACAAAGCTGCCGTCTCCCAGGGTTTCGGATCATCTTGCACAGCGACAGGGCTTGCCAAGTGACCTGTAAGCTTCTCATGCTGGATCCTTTTCAGCGGTTCTTCTACCAGGAGGAGAGCCCTGATTTTGAGACATGTTCACCTACAATGCAACAACACGCATGCATGGCCTTCAAGCTCACAAACGAAGCACCTAAGGCTCTCGGTAACGAATGTGCTACTAGTATAGGCGTGAGCAAAAGCTCAATCAGGGGAATTCATTTCTTCCACAAACTTGAAGGGTTCTCGGAAATCAGGGGCCCTTGAATAGTGAATATTGACTGTACCAGCTTCGCAGAAGATATTGAGCACCTGTTGCTAGGAAGCATCCGTGTGAGCCTCAAGGCTCTCAAGCCTAGCCAACTCGCAGCCCTGTCAGAATTTCTCCCAGGATCTTGCCAAGTGGCTGTGACGGCGAAATCGTGCAGCCTTCACGCAGCTTCGGCTTTGCGGCATTGCGGGATCGCAGATTTCACCCGGCAATGGCGAGTATGACGCTTTGGGGATCTGGAATGGGACTCTAATCAAGCAACCTTCCCAGGTTGGGTGGGCGGGGGGCGGCCGCCAGGCAGGTGTGCCGCCAAGCCCGAAATATAGATCCCCATGTATCTCCCATAACCCGTTTTGAAAGGTGAGCCCTGCAACCGGCCTCTGGGCTATCTCCATCCGATGGGCTCGTCTTGGCCTCAGGGCCAATTGCCTGCCATCGCCGGGCAGGGCAGATAAGCAGCTTCTAGCAGTACAGCTTCATTGAAGAAGGATACACTTTGCTCGAAGTTGGTTAGATAGGTGTTGTACTCATAAGTTTGAGAACCTGATTCCGACACTTGCGCAACTCGACAAGCGGTCGCTCGGGAAAAATGCTGGTCTCACAAGACTGGCTGCGCTTGAAGAGGTATCTTGCTCTCATTCATAGCCTGATGCAATTCCTGAACGCTCTGGTGACTTGCAAGCATCTGCTGTTCGGCGCTTCTGGAGATGGCCATCGGTACATGGCTGGGGTAGGCTAGCGCAGGAAATTTGCCCATCCCCGTGTTCATCCCGAAGCCGAAGCACGTCGACGAGAAAGTCGCAGGCAATCTGTGGATCCACGATCTGCTGCTCTTCGTCTGTGAACCGGACTTTCATTTGCTTCGACGGCTTCCTCTGCAGGCTTGGAGCACCATTCTCAAGATACCAAACTACGTAGCATGGCCAGGCTTTGCACAAACAAAATGCGCTTGGCACAAAGTAGGCAACTGATGGTACTGCGAGCAGCGCAACAGCATGGCATAAACTAAAGACGATGTAACACTGAAAGAAGGCAACCCTACAGATTGGAGCGTGTGTGGAAACATAAATTGAAGAATTTCCCTGTACCTTTGGGGTGTTGGAGGCTTGTGCAAGCGGGGCGCCCTGTCCTGCAAATTGGATAGTCATTCTTCTTAGCCTGGGTCTCAAGTGTTTACCTGCTTTCATATCTACCCATAGTGATCGGAAAAGTTAGCGCCTACTTGTTCTTGTGCATTTCCTGTGTAGTTCCTTTGCAAATCCCACACCTCATTCCTGTGCCCACTGAAATCTACACCCCACCCAACCCCACAGACCCGGGAGCCCCAAAAACCCTGGCAGAGTCTCCGTGCCTCTCATGGCGTGACTTTGCTGAGTCCATCTCTTGTTCCTCCAGACTGGCGAGGGGGGTGGGGGGGTATTGGGGTATATAAGCTTAATATACGGGTTATATTGGGATAATTGAAATACAATGGAAACTGGTTGCTTTGCTACAAGGATAAAGGGGTGTAAGAGTGTAGGGAGCAGGCTTGAAGGATCACAAAGGCTAGGGTATCCTTGCAGGGAGGGGCTCCTGACATCTACTTAATGTTGTCATCGGGCATCCGAGCACCGTGCAGATGATTTGGGTTCAGGATATGGGGTTGGAGTTGACACTTTAGGTTGTAGGGCCTCTAAAACCTACGGGTAGACAGCACCTGAAGGCAGGCACACATTTCTGAGAGTTCTGGATACACTCGTCTTAGTAGCGCAGGTACCGTGATACATCTGGGGAGTATCTTGGTGATTCTAGACGCTTCTTGTCCTTCAGGCATGGAAACCTCATAATATTGGGTCATAGCATCATCACCACCAGCATCATCTTGAATTTGATTCTACATCAATACCCTAATCACCAAACACCACTATGCATGCCTCTTATCCTTCTATACCCTTATAGTAACCCCAGCTTTGACGGCACATATCCGTCCTTTCGCATGCTCTTCCGCATCTCATCCAGCGCTTGCCTCTCCTTGGGCAATTAGGCTTATAGAGGTTCATGCACGGGTGACAGCGGGGCTTTGGTATGGTGAAGGTTCACACTCTGCGGAGTTGACAAGTGCGGACAAAATGGGACTACAAAGAAATAGGTATCTGGAAGATGCTATACGTGGGAATGGGAGTCACACACTTTCCTTGGATACCTATTGCCGATGAAACTCTCAGTACAGGTCTTGCCCAACACACTTCCATTGAAACGCTTCAGAAATTTCTAGTTGTCTTCCGCATATTCCTGGAATACTTTTCTCTAACATCCACTCAAAACACTGCTACAGCTTACAACTGAGACCCTGTCTGACTGTTTAAGGAACCAGAAATGTGCTAACCTCTGCTTGGGCTGGCCAACACGCACTTCAAGGCCCGCTCAAATATCCCCTGAATGTCAGCCCAGGCACGACCCGCAGTTGGACCTCCTTACGCTCCAGGGCCTGAAACTCATACCTCGGGTACCCCCAAAAAGGCACAACTCCAGCACTCGCCTTATAAAAAGGAAGACCGAATGTGTACAACTTGCTGCTCAATGCAGCTTGGGGGTTGATTGCTCGATGTGCAGATGCCCTGTACAAAAATGTTTTTTTGTTCGAGGAGCTGAAGCTTGGAATCAAGCTCCTCGATGAAGCAGTGCACACCCTGTCGGCAGCGAACTCTTGGAAAGCGACATGAAGGGCATGCCGTGGGGCTTGAAAACAAAGATGTGGGCACTCTACCCGAAAGTGGCTGCTTCGTATGCTACAGCACCAAGCCATCTGGTAATTTGAAGGGCGTGGACCTTGAAAACTGCTAAAAACATGAAATGTGTCACCCGAGTACTGTCCCTCGCAAGCTAGCACCTCATGAGTACCGCCTGAATTCCTGTGAGCGTTTTGGATGGCAATGTGTTGAACGGCCAAGGGAGGACTGCACATTGCGGGGAAAGCTGCCTGCCGGAACGTCTCCACAAGGTGGGTCACAAGATCACCCACCTTCGCGCGTAGCACTGGTTGTTCATGAACTCTACCGGATGCAGTGTCATCTCTGTTGTAGGCTGCCTCATTACTGACACAGCTCATTCCTTTCAAAAGGGCAGGCTTACCAACTTACCAGTCCACACAAGTCCCTGGCTGATGACCTACTGTATCTTGGCCCACTCAACATGGCGACCTGCCATCGAGCCTCAGCAAGAGTTGCGCAACTGACGCTTCTCTGAATCCTCTTGACCGGGCCCTGAAGATAAACGTCTAACCCTCATGCCAGCTGTTCATGTAAATAAAAAGTACGATGCCCTGCAACGCCCACTCGTTCCTTGGTTCTTTCTCCCTCCCCTGAAGCTGTGGCCTCCTCATCCTGTAAGTAGGCCAGAGGCATCGGGAAAAGGTGGCAAATGCGCCTCCTGAATCCTTCTCTGACTCTACGCTGCCTCTTTTGTCAATACTACGGGGCCTTAGTGACTTAGTGCTTGTATGGTATGGACCAGATCTATGGAAACCATGTTTGATATCGATTCATACATAGATTCATGACTCGCATGCTAGCGGCTGCGACTCGGTAAGCTCGCCAGCCGATAAGCTTTTCCAATTTGAGCCCGAGACGTCGGCAATGTCTGAGACTCGCCCGGATTCACCCGGTTGTTCTCGAAACGCTAGTACCCGGCTATTGCACGCCGTGAAATACATCAACATATGCAGATCCCAATGTGTGGACTCGCATGGGCCAAAGCTCAAACATACTTTCTCAAGGAACATACGGAACATACCGTGTTAGAGTATACAAACAAATGCTCGTCTTCAGGAACACCTGATTTCCTTAACTAGTCTCAAGCCCTTCGAGCCATAGAGATTTTCACAACGACAGCAGAAGTCAGCCTTTCTTTCGGCAAGTGGTGCTGTAGAACCACCAGGGTGTCTCGCCGAAGATGACGGTCTGGTAAACACTTCATCTTAAGCCGACGCCTCCGGGATGCAACCCGCGGACCAAAAGGCCCGCTACTTCTTCAGACGCACTGGTAAGGCGGCCTGAACGGCCTGCTCTTGAACATGAGTTTCGAGATCGTCCTGACATGTCGTCACCACTTGATAGCGCAGGGGAGCGGAGTCTCCACCAAAGAGAAGGGCGCTAGTGCCTGGAGAACCATTTACGTGCAGGCCTCTTCCCTGATCGTACCGCTTTTGTTTGCCTCACCGCGTTGCAATCGTTCCAATAAGCTTCGATCAGCTTTTTCTTGTACTTTCCTGTATAATAATTCGTGAACTCCTCCCAGGTGTACGCCAAGCCATCTTCTGGATCAATGCGCTTCTGATCTTGATCACTTCGCAGAGCAGTGCTACCTGTGGTCAACTCTGCTACCTCCTCATCCCAGGCATCCTCAGCATCTGCATGCCCCTCATCGCTGCTGGCTGCTGGGGCTGCGCCAGCCTTCTTGAGCTTCCTGACTTGAACAAATCTGGAGCAAACTTGATCAGTATGGCTCGACGACTCTTCCAGCTTTACACATCAGTGCTGCCAGGACTCGATGCCTTTTTTTTGGTACTTACCTGAGCTGCTTGGCTGAAGATGTCTATCCCAACACTACGTTCCCACATGCCCAGAGGCATAAAATCCATACAGACATGAGGATGCCCCAGAAGCGCACCTGAAATCCACTAGACAACAGCACCTTCAAAACTACCTCGTGAATACGACTGAGGAAGCTCAGGCTCCAACACACATATCGGATCTCCCTGCAAAAGCCATCCATAACTCCTACATATATCGCACCCCCAAAGGGCACGCCCCAAGCAGCGAGATGCCTTCGCTGATGGCGCCGGCTTGCGGGGTTTCCGTCGCTTTGCTCCAGGGCGCGTCTTAGCCTTGTAAGGTTCAGGATGGTTCAAGATTTAGGGCTCAGGATTTGGGGCGGAAGGAGTGGGTGTATGTCAGAGTAAGGATATTTGCGGTGACTATATGATAAGCACGCGCAAGGAAGATAAGGAAATATTGTGTATTGGTGTCCACGCTTTTACGCGGCAGTGTGCCTATGCACAAGGATGCTTCGGGAAGTTCGGCGGGGTCCACACTTGCATCCCGAGTTATGGTCTCCTATGTCCGCCACTTTCGACAAAGCACTGGTGATTATGAGGAATCCTCAAAGGGGAGCCCTGAAGTTTAGACTCGACCATCACCCGATTCAATCTTAGGCCGCAGCCAGCGCAGCCGTGGCTAACCCACTGTCCAGCTCCTCCAGGGCGCTGCCTACCCTCCGGTTCAGGGGTAAGGGCCTAGGGCTTTAACGACTTGAGCAGCTTTTGATAGGGTCTTGGGGTGAGTACCTGTATTCTCATCAGGGCAAGTTGTAACATTTGTAACAATACAGGTGGCTGCACTAATGGTTCTGCTCACATGCTCAGCCTGCAGACTGAAAGGAAGTCATAGGTTACTTCCTGCATCTCCTACAGATACTATCCTACATAAAGAAGATTGCTCAAGGTGCTTGGCTGAAGTAGTCATGCTCCGGCCTGTATTTCTTCCTCGGAGAGATCAGCTCTTTTGTCATTGCCAAACTCAGTTTCAACGTCTGCCTGCTGACCCTCCTCTTCTGTTCCTGATGCAAGAACAGCCTGCGGGTCAATCTTCTTTGGACGCTTCTTTTTGGTCTTCTTCTGGTCTTCCTTCTTCGAGGCTGTAAGGCTTTGGGTCAGTCGGGCCACCTGCTTCTCAAATTCCTCCACTTCTTCAGTTACGTCCTCTTCCTTGCCCTGGCTCTCCTCCGCCAACCTGGCAGAAGCTTGTGCTTCAAAGTAGCCATCTGCCTGCACATGGCCCATCGAGAGTAGCTCGCATTTCTCCAAGGCAAAGGATCCAAAGGAGATGCTCTCCATGGTCTCACTTACCATGCACTTGGCCACCGCACTGATGATCTGCTTTGCTGCCTTGGCAGCCTCCGAGGCACTTTACGCAACATGCGAAACCAATAAAGTCAAGATAGCAGCCGGACTTATGACTGCTGGTTAATAAGGCAATGACGAGGTGTCGAGAGAAGAAACCGTGCTACATCCAACGGATGCATCCCGTTAACCCTCCCCCATGGCCACGAAGCCCGATATCCCCATGGCTCATTCCTTATTGCAGCAGCCGAAAGCCACGAACCCTCGACACTGGCCTGCTGCCCGCTTCTTCCACGTCCTGCCTGGGACGACTTGAAGAGCGTCACGTGGGGCAAGTACTCCTCAGTTGATGTTGCAGGGCATGTCAACAGATCAGAGTCCACCGAAAACTTTGCAAATCTAGGACTCTGAAACGAGAGCCTGGAAAAGAGACCAGTTATGATCATTAAAAGGAATCTGCACGAAAGGAATCTGCACGTCTGGTTCTTGTCTAGCGAGCATGCTCCCCTTCTTGGGGTATAAGTTCCGACAGACTGCCTACATGAACTCCATACTTCAAGAAGCTACCTCCCATGATTTAGAAAGGAAGTTTTCAAAAGCAGCCTGAGCCCCAAACCGTGAAAAGGTCCACAACACCTTGAAGACAAGGCTCCCCCGGAAGTTTCTTTTTACGGCCACCTGCTTCGAGCCCCTTTCTGGGGTTTGGGCCGCTATTTGCCTTTGCGAGTTACAGTAGCTGGGATAAAGGCTCAGGAGCGCAGATGAGAATCCGAAGCTCGCTGCTGGCTAGCAAGGAATGCATGCAATTCTGCGGCATTCCGAATACTCATGTCTTTGGGGTTCCAAGTTTAGGATGTATTACGGAACAGGACATTTCGGTTCTGCGGATACTACCATGGCTACTTCTAGAACAAGTTCTCCATGACTCCTTCTTTGCTACTAAACCCTGCATAACAGCTTCGCACATTCTGCTGAACAACTCCCTGACCACGGACTCTAATCCTACACCCCAAGCGTGCACGCCTGACTTCTTGCCGCTCTGAGCAGGCGCTTGGCGCTCCGCTGTGAGGGAGGGCTCCGCGGCCCTGCACAGGGAAACCAACTCAAAGCCTAGATAGTTCAGTGGGTTTCGGGTGTTAGGTTTGAAGGTTTCGGGCACTCGTATTTCAATTTGCAAGCTTCGCAAAAACAGGACTTCAGTCGCCTACATAGTCAAAAATGGGCTCGTATAATTTAGATCTGTAACGGAATGAAAGGATGGTAGAGGTTCCTGTCACACTGCTTCAGATTGCCGTGGCTCCAGGCATCATGTTTTGCCCTGGCCTGGTTGTGTCCAGGCAGTCTTCGTCTCCTTCTTTGGGGGACGAGGGGCCTGGGTCTCGATCTGCTGTGGCTCCGCCAACTTCGTCCGGCATCTGCGAAGTTGCTTCAATGCATGTTTGCTCAAGAGGAGGAAGGTTTTGCTCACCGAGCTCAAGTACAAGGGATCCAGATCCACATCGAATGGGTTAGAGCGCGTGGTTCCTGAAAATTAAGGACTCTTATCACCCTGGAATGAGGGCACCTTGATTTGGAGAAATGCCACGGAACTCCAAATCCCAAACCCCAAATCCAAAGCCCTACTTACACCTAAACCTTAAACGCAACTCCGGAATCCAGCCACTTCGGCCCATGTGTAGCGTCCGGCCTCGTCAACGACTGTCAAGCCGCTGTCCAAGAAAGCCTGCAACAGGTGCTTCCGCAGAGAGTCGAGGCCATCGCCTGGTCGTAGATTCCCTCCTACACGTGACCTGAAATACTCAACGTGCCTCGAAAGGCAAACAGGGACGCCAGCACACACCGCTTGTAAATGGTGCATTTCCTACTGTCCTGGTAAACTGAAGCCTACTGTGATCGCCATAATTCCAATACCTTCACGCCCTACTGAACACCAGCCAGTCGCGGGGGAGCAGTCGAGTGTAGAGCACGCCATTCCTGCATCAATATAATGGTTGAAACAGAACCTTGAGAGTCTCAACCAGGGCTGGGTCTGGAGGCTGACGCTGATGTATCCGCTTCCCCAAGATTAGCCTGTATGCTAAGCCATGCGTTACCCTAAACCTAAAAGGTTTCTACTTCAAAATCTGCAATCTCTAAAGTCACCCTAAACCCGCTCTATAAACCCGAAACCCCAAGCCCAACAATGACCCAGGTTCTGTGGGAAGTGGCCGAGCCCCTCAGCACTGAGCTGCCTTGGTCCCGTGTCCCCAAGCTGTTTCTACATCCCCGGACACGAAGGCATCGAAAAAGTATGTCCCACGCCCCCAAATATTCCTACGAGTGCGAAGCATGGAGTATGAAATTGGGGTTGTACTTTCTAGATCTTCCCACAGGTCTGAGTCTCCAGTTCTTCCTACTCTAGGAGCCTGAATACTTGAACTCGTCGTCTTGCACATCGGTACTCAATAGAGCGGGAAAACAACTTGGGAGGTTGCTTGCAATGACAACCCAAATGTTTGTTGGAACGCCATAGGGACCAGCAGTATACTTGTTATCCCCAGTCTAGTTGACTGGGCAAAGTCTGGTTCTATTTTTGAGAAGATCCCACCCTGTTATAATATAGTAGTTTCCATTTTCTTTTCCATTATCCCTATATAGCCCCAATAATATACCTACTTAACCACCCCCCCTTGCTGCAAAGATGCAGAGTCCCCCATCCTTCGCTTCGCCAAGCCTCCGTGGCTCGCTCCAAGGCTTGAGTGGCCTTTCCAACATCATCCAGAGTCAAGCGAGCCACCAGCAAGGTCACGTGAGATTTCCTGAGTCGAGAGGATAGCTACTACCGTATATAACCCCTATATAACCCCAATATATACCCATTATAGTATAGTAGCTTCCATTTTCTTTTCCATTATCCCAATATAACCCTAAACCCTAAACCTTGACTCCCTCACCGTCGCAGCACGAGGCCAGATTTCACGCTAACAAACTGGCCTCCAATACAGATTGGAAAACAAGACTCCTGTTGCCAGGCTGTTCGAGCGCCATGCCTGTGTCCCACAAACACGCCTGACAAACAGGACTCTGCTACAAAGCTGAGAAAAAACGATGCCGCCAAGCGTCCCGATCGCAACAGCCGCCTTCTGCAGGCCTCCAGCTTGGGAGGCTTACATGTGTTTTGCACAAAACGCCTTCCAGTTTTCTTATCCACGGTTGTTCTAGGGCACTTAGATGATTCATTAGCTACTTATTTCCGTTTCACGTGAAAGCATACTAGAGCAGAACAGCACTCATCACAGTTTTTTCGACGAAACGTGTCCACTTCAAGCAGACCGGGGTTGGCTTGCTCAGCTCTGTGAGTGGCTAAAGGTCAAGCTTCTCCATGAGCACAGACAGACAGAGAGAGAGAGAGAGAGAGAGTGAGAGAGAATTAGAAAACAATTTCCGCTCCACAATGCGAATGGAACCCTGATATGACAAGCGTCATGCGTGAACTATTTGGCACACGCGCACACACGGAAAAGCGAGGATCCAATTGGCTTGCCATGTTGGAGATTGCTAAAGATCCCTCCAACATGTGCAAAAGGAGAACTTCCTACGGACGTGCAAAAACAGACATATGCATCAATGTATCTGCCACCATGTGTACTGCAAAACAACCTCTGGAGAAAAGACTCAAAACGACTTTCCAAAACAAGGCCGTCACTCTGTACCTGCAGGTACACATCCGTGGCCATTGGATGCTTACACTCCGGTTGTGTAGCTTCGTTGGAACAGGTGTGCAATCGGAGGCCTGGTCCCCCTGGTCTGAAACTGAGGCGCGTACTGCAAATTCCATATATGTCAATAGGTCAAAAGCGTTCCCAAAAACCTGTTAGCTTTGAATCAAGGTGTACACAGACACCACGTGAACGCCCATGCTGCAGCACGGTCCCAAGACACGGCCCCAGATACGCCCTGGTCAAGTACCCTGCAGGACAGGTCCACATGTGAGGCCCCCACGCCCCTCGCGCTTGAGGAGTTCAGACTGCAGCAGGCCCAGTCGCTGCCGCACGTGCTCAGGCATTCGCACGCCAATGAAGTGAGTTGGCAGGGAAGCGCCTGCAAAGAACATGCAAGGCGCTTCCACATACAAATAGGTTCGGCAGTGGATTAGATTGGTATCTATGAATGTTTATGTACGAAGTATGAGAGAATAGGCTTGACAGTTGTCAAGGCTCCTATTTACAAACCTTGAAGAATCCACCCCAAATCTTGCCAAGGCAATAAACCTTCAGAGTCAAAACTGTGTTAACGGCTGTTAACGGATGGCATCATTGTCAATGTACTAACTTGACAGCTGATCTATACAAATACTTGCACTGCTGCAGAAATCCCCAGTAACTTACCATTGGGGGTCCCTTGAGGGTCGTTCAATTTCCATCAAAGAAAACCCGGTGTAAACACACCTCAATATTGCCTTCCCAGCCTGATCGGAGCTCTATCTGCTTCACCTGGGTTCCGCAACAAGCATTTGCAATTTGCGCTCACGGGTCATGCGGGATTAGAACACAAAAAATGAAACAAAAGTAGACTCAAATCTACCTCCGTCACCAGCGCGCTGACAGCTTCCGCTGCTTCTTCCAATTGTTTGGCCGACTTGTGCAGGGCAGCCTGTTGTTCCTCACTCGGCAGACTGCAGGCATCCCGCCTTGCAACGGACTCTAGGAATGAGGACTGGGCTCAAGCCGGGCCGCTGGGGCCAGGCCCTTAAAAAGTTGACGCGAGGGAACAAGAAAGACATGAGAAGATCGTATGAGGATGGGTCATGAGACCATAGAACCCAACACGATGCTGACATGCTCACGTCTAAGTTCCTCGGAGGGCCCAGCTCCTGTCTTGGGTGAAAACACCTATCCGCTTAAAAGATTTCTACACACGAATGCTGACCCTAACAATAATCAAGGTAAGGTATGGACGAAAGGGTCATCAAGGACATGACCTAAACAAGTGAACTGGCCGCCATGTTTTTGCAGACTGGGGGGGGGAGGGGGGGGGGGCCTGCCTGAAAGATGCTGCAAAAACGTCCCGTTGCAGACGGTGTGCTTGAATGGAGACTGGCGCTAAACTCACCGTCTACCGCAACGGCATCCCACCCCAACCGGCCCAATCCAACCTTGCGAACTATCTTGAGCAACGAATGCATCCGAAAGTTCTACAAACACCTGCCGAAATCAAGTAGTCCGTTTGGTAAGCTGAACAGACATTAACATTAACAAGAAGGTCAAATGATGCCAATTGAGTTGTCAACAGAAGTCAAATGTCCGCCAGAAATGACAGTTCGGACTTGACAGTTGCAGCCCAACCCCCAACCATCCCAACCGAGTCAACTCCAAGGTCGGATCAATTCGAACGGGGCACAGATCCTTGGCCACGCGCCTCAACTCCTGTGTGCTTTTCAACATTCACCAGCAAGGTCTCCTTGAAACCTCCAAAAAATATGGTCTTTTGTAAGGGAACCTCGAAGTGGGACCGCAGATTCTTGAGGACTTTTGAGAATCCGCATGACACACCTGCAAGATCCCCATTATTATTTCAAACTCAAAGAGAACCGATCATTTTGAGAACATCCCTCCTCCGTCAGCGCAAAAGCGCTAGCGCATTTCTTTGGCGCATCTGGGCGCTGCAGTTCGGCCACTTGCTGCAGGTCTGCCATTGCAGAGTCCGTGTCTTAAATGGTTCAGGCTAAGCGGCGTTCGATGCGAGCACTTCGTAAGGGGGAGTGTTAAAAATATTTACAAGATTACAAGCGTGGAGGTATGCTTTCAGCAAGTTCCAAAAAAACCTGTGGAGGGCTTGCGGTTGGTGCTTCGGGTCGTACCGACACTGCCAACACTTTGCTTCAGTTCGTATGGGGCCAAACTGATGAGGCGAACCTGACGGAGTCGTTCAGCACTTCGAGCTTGCCACTTCAAGGCGCATAAAATTGGCTCGTGCAAATGGCTGCAGATAATTCAAGAAGGCCACCGGGCGTACACAATTCAGCTCAAACGACCACTTTCTGCTGCACCCTTTACAGCCCGAGCACTACAGCTTTGGAGCAAACAACTGTATGCCAAAGTCACATCATCTTGCCGAAGATTCTGAACCAACCTCCCTCAATCACAAAGGCAACTGTCAGCTGGCACAAGATGTAAAGGGGCCCCGCCTGTACCCGTATCATCAACAAGAAGAAGCCCCATGAAGGGTTGAAGCAGGCCCTCTGCCACAATCACGCCGCTCTCGCGGATATTTCCCACAAACCCAGGACTTTGCATCCTCAAAATCCTAGGATCCTTGTAGCATATCGAATTCATAGGGCAACCTGCGATTTGTTCGAAACCCGCATCCCGTACGTATCCAAAACTCTAGAGAAAGACTCATGCATATGCACGAAAGCCAAGCCACTCTGCGGTGT